ACATATAATAAAATCCAATAAGATACAACAGGTTAAAACCGATGGAGACAGAAGAGCAAAAGCTTGACGGGACTTCAAAACAAGAGGATATTAAATCAGCACTACCTATTATGATGTCTTGTTTTCTCCAAAATGGCTGTTCCTACCATCCAACCTTCTCTGCCTCATTTCTGTTGAGCTCTTTTTCTGTCATTAGTTGTCAGTTTGTCCTCTTCATTTTGCTTTCTGCTCCATTCATTGTGGCCTCTCTGCCACTGTTTCTGAAATATTGGTATTTTTCATTTTTAGAATATCCTGCAGTATTCTCTGTAGAGTTGAATTGGTGGTTGCAAATTCCCCTAGTTCCTCTTTATCCTGGAAGCACCTTGTTTTTCCATCAATTTCTAGGGACAGTTGTGCAGGATATATCAATCTTGGCTGAAGGTTATTATCTTTCAAAGCTTGAATTATTTCCCCCCACTCTCTTCGTGATTTGATGGTTTGTGCGGAGAAGTCTGCTGTAATTCTGATGGGTGTTCCCTTGTAAGTGATCTGTTTCTTGTCTTTGACGGCTTTTAATATTCTGTTCTTATATTGGATTTCTGGAATTTTGATTATTCTATGCCTGGGTGTAGCTCTGTTTGGGTTGTAGGTGGCTGGGGTCCTGTATGCCTCATACATCTGAGTATCTTTACCTTTTGCTAAATTAGGGAAATTCTCCTGGATTATTTCTGTGAATAGCTTTTGTAGTTCATTTGTTTGTGTCCCTACTTCTTCTTTTATGTTCTTAATTCTTAAGTTATAGATGCTCTTATCATCTTCATGTTTTTGTATTATTGCTGTTTGTTTTCTTGTTATTTTTAAGAAGTTTTTCATTTCTTGCTCCCATCTTATAAATCTGTCCTCCAGTTCTGATAATCTATCCTTAGTTTCTTTCAAGCTGTTATGCCAGCTTTCAATAGAGTTTTTAGTTTCCTGGTATTCTCTTTGAACCTGCTTCACATATTGTAAGTTTTCTCTTATTTTCTCCATCAAACAATTCTCCCCTTTTTTTTTCTGTTCTTCCATTCCACCATCTGTTTTTTTCTTGGGCGGTGCTTAGCATTTCTCTAACTATTCTACTTATTTCTTGCTTTATTTCATTAAATACTTCATTTTTGAACTCGTCTATGAGGCTCCAGAGATACCGCTTTATGTTTATAGGTGCCATGTCAGATATTGTATGTTTTCTGTCTTCATTCTCTTTTGCATTTACCTTTCCTGGATCAGTGTTCTCAGGATTGGGGACTGAGGGCCCTTTCTTGTTGCTCCCTCTTCCCATACTTTTTGTTCCTTCCATACAAGCGTATGTAGGACGCCCAGTTTTTTTCCCCCTTTGTCTGTTACAGTTTGTTTCAATTCGCCAGCTAGGTGTTCCCGCCCACTGCAGTGTACTTGAGAGACACAGACCTGGGCAGCCTCTGCTGGGTCCGACCCTCCAGGTCAACCTACTGAATGCTTCACTGCTAGGGTGCACCACCAGGCGCAGGGACCTGATTTGGACTAGCCTACTGGATCTTATTCCACGGCGTCACTCCCCACCACTCCCGCTTGAGAGAGGAATATGTGACTAAAGTCACTGCAGGACCCTGATCCAGCTAGTCTGCTTATTCCCAAAATGTCCTCTGTTGGAGCCTCCTAGTCTATGAAAGGGTCCCCATTTGTCTCACTCACCGCAGGTCAATGCAGGACTCCCTGCTAGTCCCGCTCTCAATGCCGTTTGCTTCGCGGATTCCAGCTCTCAGAGCTTTCGTGCGTCTCTCTCCCTGCAGTGCTGATTGGGATGCAGTAGCGGCAGCAGGAAATTCAAATCACGGCTTCCAAAGGCGCAGGATCCAGCTTCTGCAATGAGATTTTATCTGTTCCTGTTATAGCATCAGGATTGCATTTCCAGTTGATTTCTCTCAGCTTAGTTCGTTCCTGGGTCGGCAGGGTACATCTCCCCTCGCTTAGGACTTTTCACACGGCACCACTCCTGCATTCTAAACTGGTAATCTCAGAGAGCCTCTGTGGCTGCTGTTACTTGTCCGCCATGTTCTCCTGGAAGTCAAGATCCTCCTTTTTTCTATGTGGTTTGATAGCAGCCTGGCAGGCAGGATTAGCATTTTCATAAGCCAATTGTTTAACAAGGTCAGAGTTGTCCTCGGAGATGCCGAAGAGATGCTCAGTTGCCTGTAAGAGGCGATCAACGAAATCAGAAAAGGGTTCCTCAGGTTTCTGTTTTATTTTTGTAAGGGAAGAAGTGACTCCACCAGAGGGGAGCTTTTTCCATGCTTTGATCGCTGCCAGAGTGATCTGAGCAAAATGCGTGCCTCATACCGCATTTCAGCTTGTGTAGCATATCGACCTGTTCCTGTTAACATGGACATAGTATAATGGTTTCTCCTGTTAGCATTATCTTTAGCTGAAAGTTCACATTGGTCTTGGAATTCCACCTTCCAGAGCAGATAATTGCCTCCGGAGAGTGTAGCTCTGGTTAAACCCCTCCAATCATTAGGTGTAATCCAGCCTTGGGTTAAGAAATCTAAAACCACACGGGTAAAGGCAGCCATGGGACCATATTGGGATACTGCTGTTTTTAATTCTTTTAGGGCAGTTACTGGAAACGGTGTATGGGCCCTACTAGTCCTCGGCGCTGGGGGTGGTGGGTCTGTGTCTGTATCACTATCATGTGGGTCAGAATCACTTTCTTCTTCACTATTAGCAGTTTCTAAATCCCATGTCTGTAGGCGCAGTGGCTGTCTTTTTTTGTTTCCCCTTGTTGTTGTAATGGCCTGTGTTTTATCCCTTCCATATTCCTGGCTTGGGGATTGATCCCCGCGTCTAGTTCATCTTTTTTGTCTCCCCCTTTCTTTAGTTGTTTCACTGCCGCCATCTTGTGGACCAGGCGCCATCTTGGGTGGGTCGAGTTGTCTCTCTGCCATTTTGTAAGTCATTGCCACCTGTGCCAGTTGGAGCAGTTTCCGTTACCGGAAACAGTAAAGGAGGTGCCATTTTTAAGGTATCTGTTTTTGGAGGGTGGATTATTTCTGTTACTGGGAACATCATTGTTGGTGCATCTAAAGGGGAACGAGAGACTACATCAAGCAACTTAAGTTGTAAAATGAGTCTTTGTCTCTCCTGTTTTAATTGAAGCTGCTGTTGTAAATAATGGATCTCTGTCTCTAGATCAAGGAGATCAGGAGGTGGACCGGGCGACTTTTGGAAGCCAAACGGAGGGTTATCTATCTTTTTTGTTATGCCTTTTGTCACTAAATTAGGCTCGACAGATAGTGCAGGGGCTGCAAAAGGGGGTTTCTCACCCTGATACTGAATAGCCTCTTCTGCTAGCCGTAACCAATTAATCTTTGGAAGGTCAGAAAGATCAGGATATATAGGCTTATATGATGGAGGAGTTGTGGCGGCACCGAGTTCTAAGGAGCGCTGGCAGCCAGTTTGAATGGTGGCGCCATTTTGAGTGCCCCCGTGTGTTTCAGAAAGGGGAAATGACTCAAGTTGCCATTTTGGGAGTCTCCGGAGGGGGAGAAGTCGCCATCTTGAGGGGGCTCCAAAATATCAAGAACCACAAAGCCAGGAGAGCTGGGTGCTTTGCGTAAATCTGGTGGCTGTGGGGTACAATTGCGGGAGGCAGATAATGCAGCCTCATCCTGTGCAAGCGTCTCTGCAGTTTGGGGATCTGCATGACGTTGTGTCAGCAGCTCAGATATTAAAGTCCAATATGCATAAGAAGTTACCAGAACCTTTTCCGAACCAAAAACTCTGTAATAGTCTTTGAGAGCATCTCCTACTCTTTGCCATCTTTTTGGTCAGTGGAATCCTCTAGAGGGAACCAGGGACACACAGAATGCACAAACTGAAAGTAGTGTAATAAATCTTTAGTTTAAACCTTAATCCCCCTAACCTTGAGTGCCTCCCTGAGGCCATTTATGAACAATTTGTGTTCACTAAGTGCTTGCCCCATGCCGATCCCGTTCACCTACTGTGATTCAGGTGAAATGTAAGGTGGCCATCTGCACGGATCACAGGGACAAAGTCCCGAAATAGTCACGCCGGCCGGCGATTTACTCCTGTGAATGGTCTCGCGTCGATATCCCTCGTGCCAGGTTGAACCCACGTTGAGCGCCACTTGATCTGGCCTGCGGATCAGTCTGTGGGCCTTGCCTGGAGAGGGGACAGAGATGGGAGGCTGGGCAAGAGGAGAAAGAGACAGAGACAAGATGAAAGGTTCCAGTCAAGTCTCATTTATTCTGAAAATGGCGACAACTTATATAGGGTGGAGGTGGGCTAATGGCGCAGGAAGAGGGCATGGAGTGCTATCTGATAGATCATCATCATATCTGGATATGTGATGTAAGCAGGAGAAGATTATGGGTAATGTAGGCAGACGTGAAGATCATGGGAAATGTAGGCGGACATGGCAGAGGCCCACAGGAGAACGAGATAAGGTGGCAACAGTGAGATATACCGTCCCTACATACCTCAGATAAAAATACTACTCTTTCATCTTAGCATATATGTTTATTACTGCAATATTAAATATTCAGACAAACCTAATTGGAACTTTGAAATGTAGAGAAAACACTCAGGGCTTTATTTTTGTTTTTTATGTAAGGAGTCTTATTTCCTGTAAATATCTTGATCAAATAGTTATGTTAAAACTGTAGTTTTGGTGAAGATTTAATTTTAAGCTATTTGTCCTGCCTTCTACAGTTTTGATTTCTGCCATTTAAGTTGTCAACCATGGTCCAGAAATATTAAATGGAAAATTCCCCAAATTAAACAATATAATTTCTAACTAAATTTTTTCATACAAAAGACAATAAACATTTGAAATATATTTTTTCACTTTGTGCAAAAATATATTTTGCCCTGTGTTTCTGAAAAGATGTGTAATTTCAATTATCCATTCAACTTTAAGCTACTGAAAATAAATTTCAATTTCATGAAAATTCTAACTTTAGTGACTATTTGGTTTCTTCTAGGTTCTGTTTATTGATCCTGCTAAAGAATATACCTTTGACTTTATGAAACTTGCTGAAATTTTCTATTTTCACAAGTTTCCTCTCAGGTAATTTTAAATTTGTGTTACTAAACTGTCAACTGAAGGAAATCCAGTGATGTTTATGTCGTGTTACATGGAATATGCAATCAAAGATATAATTCACTCTAAAACTTCACAAAATATAGCTTCTACCATAATCTTATGTGCCTTGTTGCTTGCCAAAAAGTAATCTGATCACTCTGGAAATTCACATGGGACTCTTCTCTGGGTGACTATATTAGGAGTGCATTTATCCCATTTTCCCAGAAAAATGTGGTCATTTGATAATGTCACCATCTGAGAGTTGTTTTACATTTTGCATAATCCAGTATGTGTGAGCATTTTTTCTCACTAATATCTTCATTTGCCTTACCTACCAACATAATCCCTCTAGTCTAATATTGTGGTTCAAGAGGCAGTTGTGATATTTGTTATTCATCTTCTTTTCCCAGAATTGGCTTTGTCTTCATTCTTAATGCAGATGATAAAGTTGATGGAAGAAATGATGCTGGAGTTGCTCTTTGGAGAGCGTTCAACTATATTTTGAAGGAACGTAGTGTATCTGAAGCATTTATTTCCATTTTACATGTAAGTTTATGCACTAGTTAAAATTTCTGTATAAAGATTATTTTTTTGAATTGCTAATTTGTTATACTATTTCAAATTCATGAAAACTGTCATGAGAATTAATACTGATGATAAATTTGATTCCTGCAACTCACTACTGAAGTATATAATACTGTCCCAGCTTTATGGATTAGGTAAGTTGGACTGTGCTACAGTATATCAATTTAGGTTTACTCAGCCCGTAAAGGAATTTAGATTGTATATTTATATTTAAAGAAAAATGTAATACCAGAATACTATTTTGGGGAAAAATTCTTTAACTTGATCCAGAGTAAAATCACTAATAAAAAGATAGTTGTAAATATGAATATTCAGTGAAGCATGGTAGTGCACATCTGTAATTCCAGCACTTGGGAGACTGAAGCAAGTTCTTAGTTTGAGGCCAGCCTGGGCTACATAGTGAGATCAAGGCCATTGTGAACTACATAGCAAGAACCTCTTTCATAATACAAAATAAAGGTGAATATTCCCAGATAACAAAGTATATACATACCTCTTTGGAATTTCAGAGAATCAGCTCTCAAAAAATTAAATTGTATGAGAGAAAATTGATAGAATCTGACAGAATGTATAAGAAAAGTCAAAAATTAATAAGAATGTTAAAGAAGAATTAAACTACAGTATAAGAATAAAGTGTATCTGTTCATAACTTAGGAAGATTATTTCATAAATAAAGATTTCAAAACTTTGACTCATGGAAAAGTAAATATTAAAGAGCTATATCATCATTATTAGTGAAAAGAATCAAGTTATAGATTAAAAAGAACTTTTACTAATTTTTATATTCATGGGCCTTTAATTTCTCAACTCGTATTATAATAAGGAATGACAAGTGAAAGAAATTTCTACACAATATGTGTCAGTATTATATCTGCACTTACTAGTCTTACTAACTTACTAGTATAAGACTTTAAAAAGAATTTAGTCAGTAGACTTAGATCTTTTATTGTCTGTTTTATCACCAAAAAATCCTTACAGTATTCAAAACAGAAACCTGAAGGCATTGAAAAATTAACTTTCTTTAAATTAGCTTAATTACCAATATTAAATTGCTATTTTCTATGCATTTTGTATCAGATATAAATTTGCATGTGATGGTTAAAGATGTGGGGCCCTAAAACTGAAGAATACAGAAGTGCCATTGCAAAAAATTGGAAACAGATTTTCTGCAACTGATGGCTAGACAGCTGGCTACCTTATTGCAGATAAGACCTGACATTGTATGTGTAAAAAATCATTTTTGATAGTTTAGAAACTTGTGTGAGAAATAAAACTTTAAAACTTTTAGAATTTCTTGGGTGAGACTTACAAACTCTAATTCTAAAGGAAAAAAATTGACAAATTTAGCTGTACTACAAATGAAAACTACTGTTCATAAACAATATCATGAAGAAGTTGGGTAACATAAGTTACCCACAGGAGCAATATTTTCAATATATTTAATCAGTTACATACTTATATAAGATCATACATATTTCATGAATCAAAATGAAAAATATAAACAACTCAAGGGATAGAATGCAGAAAAAGGGAGGAGCTAAAGATGGTGGATCAGTAAGCAGCAAAATAGGGAGCCTCTGAGAGAGACAGCTCAGATGCCGGAATAAAGCATCTTAGAGAAGACCAGATGGAGGGAGACAGATCCTCTCTAACCAGGAAGAAACTAAAGGGAAAGGAGCCGGTCAGACTCGCAGTCATGGCGCTCCCATTGCAGCTGGTCACACTTGTGGTAATGGCACTCTCGCTGGAGCCACTCAGACTTGCAGTCTCAGCACTCCCACCGCCAGAGCCATAGTTGCGCTGAAGTCAGGGGTTGGCAAACCCAACAGAGAACAGAGCCAATGTGGAGACCTGCACTAACCCTCAGTGAGTACTCAGAATTTGACCCTCCAGTGGAAAAGGGGTGACCAACTGGATGACATATTGGTATTGGAAAGGATGGGCCTGAACAAGGAACGGCAGTGACTTTAGATGGTTGTTCCCTGCCCAGAGCAGATTGGTAAGATCTGATGGGGTTGGGTCATGCCCCTGGCTGGGACCCAATAGCCAGGGATGAAATTGTCCTCAAAAGTTGTCCCGAACCAGTTCTGTCCGCAAGGCAGACACTAACATGGTGAAGGCCCTGGCTGGTTGACTGGCTGGGAAGGGAGGGGCCAGCCTACACAGCCCCTGCTTGCACCTCAATGACCAACAGCAAACTGAGAGGGCAGAAATCCCTACACAGTGCACTTCAGAAGAACCATAACCAATAGGAAAGGGTCTGGGACCTTCACCATACACTTGTATGGAAGAAACCAGAAACATGTCAAGAGAGAAATAAGAAAAAGCTCCGAGCCCCAACCCAGGGAAAATGGGTCCAGGAGAGATAAATGCAGAAGAGATCAAGGGCAGCAAATGTGGAATATCAGGCACAGCATCAGCTGACATAAAGAAATGTCTTCGTGACCTTATAGATGAACTCAAAACTGAAATTCTAATACAAGTAAAGCAAGGTATAAGAAGATTGATAAAAGAAATGCTAGCCACCTCTCAAGACACAGAAGGAAGAATGGAGGAACACAAAAAAGGAGAAAAACATTCAATGAAGAATATTTTAAAAACCTAGAATACATGAAACAGATTCAAAGAGATTACCAGGAAATTAAAAACGCCATTGAAAGCTGGCAAAATTGCCTGAAAGTAACTAAAGATAGATTTAAAAAATCGAAGATGGGTTTGCAATGTGTGATCGCAAAAGGAAAGATCACTTGCAAAATAACAAGGAAACAGGCACTAACAATACAAAGACTAGAAGATGACAAGAGAGAGGATCTATAACTTAAGAATAAAAAATGTAAGTGAAGAAGTAGGGGTAAACACAAAGGAAATACATAGGCCATTCACAGAAATAATTAAGAAAAACTTCCCAAGCATACAAAAAGGAAATGATATTCAGATATATGAGGCATACAGAACTCCAACCATCTACAACTAAAAAGAACTACACCCAGACATATAATAAAGATCCCAGAAATTCATCACAAGAACAGAATATTAAAAACTGTCAGAGAAAAGAAATAGATTACCTATAAAGGAAAACCCATCAAAACCACAACAGACTTCTCGACACAAACCATCAAATCAGGAACAGCTGGGAGTGAAGTATTCCAAGCCCTAAAAGAAAATAACCTCCAATCCTGATTGATGTTATTTTGTACCCTGCAAAACTGTCTCTCAAAATTAATGGAGAAACAAGATGTTCCCATGACAAAGAGGAACTGGGGAAGTTCATAACAACCAACACAACCCTACAAAAAATACTAAAGGACATTCTAGAGAGAGAGGGAAAAAAACATGAGGATTTCAGAAATAGTGACAGAGAAGCCTCAGTGAACAGGGCAGACAGTGGAATAAAGGAGAAAAGTAGACAACCGATGGCAAAAACATAGCATAGCAGAAATGAGGCAGAGAAGGTTGGCTATAATCTCTAACATAGATGGCCTTGATACGCTAACAAAAAGAAATGCAGAATAGATCAGGAGATAGGGTCCATTGAGATGCTCTATAAAGGAAATACAATTAACCTGAAAGAGGGTTTATGGACTGAAAGTCAAATATGAGAAAACAATGCTCTATGCGACAGGGAACCAGAGAGAAATAGGAGCAATTCACCCAGTACTTGCAGATAGGTTGGAAAGATACAATACTTTTGTGCAGTAGAGAACTACTCAGCTATAATGAAGGAAAACCTTGAGGGTTTTGTAGGTAAAGGAATACAACTTAAGATCAAACCCACGGGTAAAAAGGTTCAGAACCTCTTAGGTAAATAGCAAATTGCCCCCCAATCTAAAAACTAAAGGAGTTAGTGGGACCCAAAATGTACAGTGCACCTTGTGAAAGTGAAAGGAGAAGAAATGTCTAAAAAAGGAAGGCAGAGGAGGACATTATCAATAGTGTGTCAGGATTTAAAATCCACATTATTCTCACTGATATGTTTAGATTGATTATATTCTGTTCTAGTTTGTTTACTCGTTTTAGATTTGAGGGCAAAGACAACTATCCCTAAAATAGCATGATATATTGCAGTAACCATCCTTAATTTTCTATCAACCTAATCTGAAGCCCTGTATAACTTACACTGTCTTATTATGACTGATCTTATTTGAATCTGGTTTGTTAGATCACTGTTTTGTATTGACTGATTTTATTTGAATCTGTTATGAGTGGTAGTGTCAAGTCTGAGAATATAGGCAACTGCTCTGAAGATGACAAGATTTACTAGGGTACCCACTGTGGTTTGCCTATTGCCTGCTTTTGAAGTCTTATGTCTCCTATGTTTTGTTTTTATTAATACTGTTATGTACTGCTATGTTCAATTATACTATGCCTGATGATAGACAATTCTGTTGAAGATAACGAGATATCATAGTAACCATTGTAGATCACTTTGTATTGTGGTTTTATATGACTTTCTCTTTCATGTTTTTCTAGGAATTTGTTTTGTTTGGTCTTGCTTTGTCTTATTTTTCCCTCATACAGAAAGGATAGATACACATATAGAGACTCATGCATGCATAGAACTCCTAAACAGTTTATGAGAACTCATTATATAATGCATGATGAAATGAATAACTACTTTGAGGAGAAAGACACTACAGTACCCAGTGCTGATTCCATAGTGTCACGATGTGAAATCCAACAATACTATTATTCTTTGTTCAGAGTAATTTTAGTCCATTTTGTTTTGTTTAATTTCAACATATGTGAAGGTAGGGACAGCTATTTTGAAGAGAATGAGAGACACTATAATAGCCATTGTTGATTTCCTTATTGTCTGGTCTTGAAGACCTAAAATGCCTTTTTCATCCTATTCTGATCACTTCTATACTATGTTGTATGAATTCAGTGTATGTGAAGATATGGAAAACAATTTGGAAGAAAACAAGAGACAATATGATAGACAGAGAAGATCTCCAATTGTCTTGCTTTGAAATATGTGTCTTTGCTTTCTTGTGTTCTGTTTTGTTCTATTTTGTTGTGTTTAATTTTATTGTATTTAATTTTACCCTCTTTAAAAATAAAAGAATGCAGAAAAGATTTCTTTTAAATAGAAGAGGGTATATTAATGATAATAAAAATTTACTGAAATTAGTGGTATTATCTATTGTAATTAATGGTAAATAATAAGATAATTTTTTAGAAATTGGAAGTAAAGAATACTGCTATGAGATTATTTTACACTCTATAATCTTGCAGTAAGAAATTTGATAGTATCATGAGTTGATGAAAATGTAGAATAGTAAATAATGTGAATACTCGTACCCTTCCTACAGCAATATAAATTAGCACAAGATTGAAAAACAAACCTGTCTTTGTGGTTAAATTCCCATGTGCACACACCAACACACCCTAAGAGAACTTCTTGAACAATTGTTCCTTAGGACAGGATTCTTAGTAAAATCATTTTAGAACAAACTGTCAGTAATTCAAATACGTATCTATAGCAAAAAAAAAAAAATAGAAAATTTGATATATTTAGATAGTGGAATACATTCATAGAACAAACTGTAAATAATTGAAATATGTATCCATACAAAAAAAGAGAAAAGAAAATTTGGTATATTTACATGGTGAAATATAATCCATAAGCATGATTATACCAGAAAGGTAATAAAGTCATAGAAGACTTACCACATTGCATATACTTTTTAAAGCTCAAGAGCAAACCAAACTAGCCTAAGTCATGCGAATGCATTCATACAGTGTTCTAGAAGTTGAAAGATAATGGCAAACTCATTCAAGAAAATGGTTGCATAAAGAGCACAAGGAAATGGAATTGGGAGAAAGGTTGTACTGAGTAATGGTGATTTTTCCATTCTTATGTTAAATTGTTCTTATGTACAAAATTTTTATTCCTATATTTGTGATCCACATATGTCACATATGTCTTTTCTTACCAGGTTTCATAAGAATTTATTGAATGCATGAAAAATTGAATTATTATATTTGTGTACCTTATGTAAGACATGGCTATATCATTTTATAGGAGCATCTAGTATTTTAAAACTACTTAGTAATGAGCAAAAATTACTAATCTCAATGAATTTTCAAATATAATTTTTGCTTTATTTCAATCTCATTTTTAATCCCTATTTATATTTTACAGAAAGCTGAACTTTTCATTTTTTTTAAGTTATGTTCTACTTTAATGTAGTAGAAATTGGCCCCTAAATTCAGACACCCAAAAACTAACCCTATTAGTATAATAGGATGCCTACATTTGTAATCACAAACCTGTGCCTACATTTGCTTCTAAAAAGAGTAGCTTACCAAGTTTTCAGGGATATACAGAATGCAGGGGATAATAATTTCTATCCTATCAGCTGTAGTATGGAGATGATCTCTGGCAATAATGATGTAAAAGGACTAAATTTAATGATATATCAAAGTGCTGCCGCTTGGTATTTACATTTGCAGTTCTTCTTACTTGCATGGTTCTTTCTTGAGAATATCTGAACACTAGCTTAGTACTCATAATCAGTGCATAGCTTAGTCATCATACTCAGATTTGCCTTCTTTCCTGGAGTAAAGCTGGTGCTCTTTATGCCTAAAACAGTATCTAGGTCATAGTAAAGGTTCTGTAACAACTTTATTAAAGGAAGAAATGAGAAATGAATAGCAGCATACATTCTGGTATCCTGCTGTTGAACATTTGAGATTGGGGGAAGATTGATCTGGAATAGTCCGAAATGAAAATGAAGCATTTCAGAAGTGCTTATAAGATAATATAATAGGAAATATAAAAACAGTGTTATCTAATTTATTTAATAAGTTTTTCTTTGTATGGCCTATCATAAAACATTCAATAAACAATGTAACATTACAATGTGAACAATATCTGTTTCTGAATTGTTTTTGTATTGTCTTTCTTTGAACAACATACTTTACACTGTTGTGTCAACCTATTTTCTGTGGGTGATATAGCTTCAATAAAATGTCTACACATTAAAGATGTTGGTGATGGATATACTAGTTGGTGTCTCACTATCCTATGTTTTTCAGTTATTTGGTCTATTAAACGTAATCTAAATTGCAGGTGACTTTTTCAACTCCTTTGTCTTGAATATGAAAGAAACAAGTTCCATATTGTTTGGCCCAGAAGGTTCATAAGTATTTTATAAAATATTTTTCCTTACTTTTTGACTAGAGAACAGCTTGTTAGATGTTGGTCAACTGTGTCAGTACTGCCCACAGAATTATTACAATTGTTGACCACTGCTGAAATTTTCTGTTTTGTTTCTTTTTTCGAGTCCTGTCATTTCTGTATTATGAGTAGTTAACAGTCACAAGACATCCTTTTTGTTTTTCCACTTCGTAACACAGACTTTTCCTTCCTTTTCCAGTTTTTCTTTTGCAGATCTTTTGGCACTTTCTTCCCGATCAGTCTCAGTGTCCCAAAGTGTTTGTTTTGTATTAAAATATCACTGAGTTCTGGAGAAGTATAAAAATTATATCTAATGTACTTACGATGAGTTTTTATAGATTGTAGATTATTTTTCTAAATTATAGGTTATTTTTCACAAATAAATTAAGCACAAATTAGTGAAAGAAATAGCTAGAATTTATTATTACATTTCACTAGAAACAAATATCAAAAGCATATGCAATGTTCTAATTAGAATATTATGCAGAGCTAGTTGTGGTGTCATACACCTATAATCCCAGTATTTAGGAGGCCGAGGCAGGAGGATCACTGCAACTTCAAGTCCCGTCTGAGCTACATAGTAAGTCCATGCCAGCCTGAGCTGCATGGTGAGACCCTGTCTCCAAAAAAGATAAAAGTGTGCAACAATAGTTGATACTAAACAAATAGGCATACAAGAATCGACTGGGTGAATGGATATCTGCCTGAATGGCACTCAGGATAGTTAGTATATAAACAAACCTGGTGCCCAAGTGACACTCAGGGTAAACTCTTAAGTGGCTAAAGAAATTTAAGCATTTGTTTTTAAGAATTACAATATCTAGTTTGATTAAAATGAATGGAACAAACTTGTTATATATTTAAAGACTTTAGAATATAGTACTTATTAGAAAACAGTATGTTTAAATTACTTTTATAATAGTTTGTGTGTATTTATATACTTAGACTTTATAAAATATGGGCTTTATTTTACAAATGTATGTTAAGAGGAAAAAACAAATTACTATAAAAAGAAAAATTATATTGTCTTTGTTTCCACAGATGTACCAAAAAGTGAAGGATCAGAGTGTACTCACTGTGGAAAATGTGAAGAGTGTTCTCCAAAATGAATTTCCTCATGCTGATATTTGGGATATTTTGGGAGTGCATTCCAAATATGACAATGGAAGGAAGGCAAGTTGAGGAACTGTGTTCAGTAAATAAGCCAGGCACAGAAAGACGAGTACCGCATGACCGCCCTCATCTGTGGAATCTAAAACAGTGTAACTTACGGGGATAGAGTGAACTGACAGCTACCAGAGGCTAAGACTGGAGAACTGGGGAGATTCTGATCAAAGAATAGGAAATTTCAGTAAGACTAGACCAATAAGATCAAAAGGTAGCTTGTCCACTGTGATAACTAGAGTTAGTGATACAGTATATGTTGTAAGGGCTCTCAGAACAAAAAAAGGTAGGTAAGGTAGTACTTTATTAATTGGCTTCATTTAGCCTTTCTGCAGTGTATGCACAGGTAGAAACATCAGAGATGAATATAACTGTATGCTATAGATTTATACAGTTTTTACTTGTAAATTTCTAGAAAGGTGAATAATTAAAGACTGAACCCAGGAGATCCTAAAAGAACAGAAAAGACAAAGGCAAAAACATAAATTACCAGAAAGAAAAAAGAATAGTACAAAGAATTTCCAAAATTGATAGCCATGACTCCTCACTCTGAATAAAATTTCTCTGTAGTGGATAAGGATAAGGAATAGTCTTCTTAATCAGTGATATTTAAGCGGAGTCTAAGGAAGTGGCGAGAGAATAACATTCCAGTGAGAAAAATGTCAGAAGGTCCTGAGTTGTGAGGGAACTAAGAGAAACTAGTGTTTCTGCTGCATAAAATGCAAGCATGAGTTGTGGAGAAAAGTTTAGGAGATACGATTGGAGGGATGGACAGGGGACAAATTGTACCACTTCTTATACGTGATACTTCCTCATTATCCATGAGATTGGACACTAAGGGTAGCATGAAATCCAGTCTCTCATTTAAAATGGCATAGAATTTACACAGAACACATTACTAATGCCTAACATAATTAAATGCTATATAAATAGTTGTTATACTGTGTTGCTTAGGGAATAATGACAAGGGGAAAGTCTGAACATAAAAATCTACATATTCAGGTTCAGTGCAGTTTTTTTCTCATATGTTTTCAGTCCACAGTTGATTGAATCCACACATGCAAGCTCTATAAATACAGAAGTCCACCTCTATTTAATGTAAACTCAAAACAGTGCAAGACCTTAGGGGTAATAAAGGTTCTACAGGTAAAGTGACTTAGGCATGCATCTTTTTGAAAGAACGTTCTTCACTGTTGAGAATGGATTGTTGAAGGGTGAGAGAGACAGAGACAGAAAGGGAAGAAAGAAAGTTAATACAGATTAGGAAACACAAGATGGGCTAGTTGGCCTTTGGCAGAAGAAAATGGACACATTTGAGTTCCTCAGCAAATCCTATCCAGGGTCTTTGCAAGAATGAACAGGGTGGAGGGCAGACGAGAAATTGTCAAGGAAGATGACTCCCACATAGGTTTACCTGAGCAACTGCCCAGAGAGAGGCACTTAATCATTGCCAGAACAGAAAAGAATGGAAGGAGAATAAGGCTGGAAAGTAAGTGAGAATGTGCCTGTGAGACTTCCAGAGAAGATGTGAAAAATGATTTAAATATATATGTCTAGCTCAGAAGCAAAATGTAGACTAAAACCACAAAATTCTCTGTCACCAGATTATTTGTGATAATTAAAACTTTTGGAATAGGTACACTTCCTAATTGGAATTCGATGAGTAGGAGCAGGAAAAAGACCTATATTTCTAGCAGGGACATTTTTCTTGAGGTCCACATCCATGCATTCAGCTGCCTACAGGATTGTGCATAGCCAATCTAAAGTGTCTAAGACCAAGTATGTCATCTTCCTTGTTACCCCAAGCCTATTTTTTATACCCTATCATAGCATCACATATCATAGGTGGTCACCTATGTAAAAGTCTGGCCCTCATTCTAAACTACTGTTATTTCACACCTTCCAAACAACAGGTCATCAAGTTTTCAATTCTCCTTTTAAAATAATTCAAGCACTGTCTCTTTCTGTTTGCCCTTTATCACTGATTTTTTTTTCCTGGCTTTTTTCCCCATTTTATTGCAGTAGCTTCCAACCCAGTGTCCCCCTCTCATATTGCTATTGTGTTGTTTTTAAAATAGGAAAATCTGATCATACTACATTTTTGTCAAGAACCCTCTTTGTAGATAGAATTGACCGTAACCTCTTTGGTATCACTAGATACTATATTGACTTGTTTTTAAAGTATCCATTTCTCATCTGTTAAACAGTAAAGTTTTTTGGAATAGAGTTTACATATCACTTTTACACATTCATAAGCCTTTTTATCTAGTAGTAACTGCCTAATAAATGGAAATAATGTAGCACTATAGATAAGAGACTAGACTCTTGGTCAGACAGATTTGGATACAAAATCTGGTTCTAATATATAGTAATTATGTGTCACTGGAAGTGATTTAATCTCTGTTTTTCATCTCTGCAATGTTTACTACAGTTTTGAGCTTCCTTTATTCAACTCAGAAATACTCCAGCATTTCTGAAAAATTCCAAAATCTGAAGCATTCTTGTTCTTGTTGCGAATAAGGTTATATTCAGCATGTATTTAGCTTCTGAGGTTACTTATGAAAATTTTAGCCATAATAATCATAATTATAATGTTTAGTATTGAATATCAAACAAATTGTTTAGTGGCTATCATTCATAACGTAAAATCCAAATTTTGAGGACCTGCCCCACTGGCTATGATTGAGCTCCTCTAGCCTTGTATCTGCCAGTTCTCTCCAGTGTGTCACACCCTATCTTTACTTGGTGTTGTCTGAGTTTGTCACATTCTCACTTCTCTTCTAGTTTTGCTGTGCTTTCTTTAGTTGGAATATCTTTTTTCACTTCATCTTCTTGGCCAGTTTTTATCCATCCTTTAAGGCTTTTGGTGTCACTTTTTTGGTATCACGATGAAGCTTCTTTGATCCCTTCTCTCCATTCTCAAGCTTTGTTAGATGCTTCCTTTCTGTCTCTGAAAATCTTGTAATGCCTGTATTTTGCTTCTAAGTATGTGAAGGCTTTCAGCTGTATATTCAATGGATCTAGTCTAGTATTAGTGGCATGATTCAGTATCTGCTTATTAAATAAAGGAATACAGGGATAAAATAAGTGTTGATGCAGGTGAATGTTTTGGTTTTAAATAAATGTCGTATGTTTCAAGAGTCAGCAAGCCCACTCTCTACTTGTTTTTGTGAACTGAGTATTTTGGGAATACAGCTGTGCTTAATTCATGTTGTTTGTGACTACTTTCGCACTGACATCAGAAGTGAGCACTTGCAACAGAGCCTGGCTGGCTCACAAAAACTAAAATATTTACACTCTGGTGCTTTACAGAAATAGTTTCCTGACTCCTGCTTTGTGTAGGTAAATTACCTTCCTTTACATACTGTTTGGAAAGGACAGATAAGGACAGCAAAATGTTTATTTTCAAAAACTGGTGTATAAAAATGTGAGAGTGTCCTTTTTTCTTGTACATTTGTTTTCCAACAGTTAAATTTTGACACTCTTCTATTTTTTAATGAATAGGCAGGAGCAAGTTTTTATAAAATTACTGGCCTGGGTCCATTGCCTCAAGTTATTTATAATGGTGAACCTTTTAACCATGAAGAGTTAAATAGTGAGGAACTAGACATTGTTGTTCTTCATAGAATGAAGGGTGCATCTGTGTATTTACAAAGAGATATCTTAATGGTAAGTAAGTTTTTATGAGAAAATGCATAGACATTTAATACTTCTTTAAAAATTTTTAATGGCACAAGTTACTTGTATGAGAATTTTTATTCTAATTATTTGATTTTAAAATTAATACTTAAACTTACCTTGAAAAATTAATTTGAAAGAAAATTATAATTTTTATAAGAAAATTTAACAGAGCAATCCTAAACTGCATGTTTATCAACTTAGATTAAATAATTTGTAAATGAGTACCTGTATAGTTTTAAAATATGCATATGAATTGCCTATATTATTTAAATTATATTTTTATTATTTTAGGGCACATTAAATGATAAGATGAATGCAATTGATTACCTAATGGATAGGAACAGTGTTGTACCCCGTATAAATTCTGTGATTTTGCACGCTCAACATCAGTACCTTAATTTAATATCTTCTCAAGGTAAAATAACCCTTAATATAATGTTCTAAAAATATTGATCTTTATGCTTCACTACTCATTGTTAAGTATTTACTATAAAATTTTTCAGTAACTACTGATATTGAAGATTTCTCTACTTTCTCTTTCTTGGAGTCACAAGATAAGAGCGCTATGATTGCAAAGAACATGCATTATTTAACCCAGGAAGGTAATGACATTTTATTTTCTGGAATTTATGCAAAGGTAATAAAAACTTAGAATTTTAGTAAATTGCTTGCCTAGTTAATTTTGTTACTATTTTTTATTCTGACTAGATTTAACTTTGTTATTGATTATAAATGATTATGTTTTAAAAATGTACTGGGAAAATTAGGCCTCTTGTCTAACTAGTCATATATGCAGAAGGACTTCATCTTGGGTTAATACCTTTTTAAAAAAATAAGTTCTTCCATTTTTACCTTTTAAGAAAATGATACATACTTTTAACAAGGCTGTGTTAAACTGATAAAATGCATGAATAAAAATAAAATCCCAAACTCAGCAAAGATAATACTAGTTTTCTGGTGATTAAACAAATTCTGGGTGTTTTGCTTAGATTGGGGGTTACAACCAAAGGAGGAGAGATCATGATAGTAATATATTTGGAAATAAACATTTTGCCTAGCAAGTGTATAGTAGTACCGTAGATTTTTTAAGGGCACAACTTAACTACTCAAGTAGATAAAGGGATAATTAATATTTGAGCTGTCTTGCTTCACTTTGTCTTATTTGGCCTGCTTTGCTATAGAGATGAAAATGAGAGCCTGAAAGTATAAAATTTCATTCTTCTTCATGACTAAATAAAAATCGTGTCTTTTGCAGAAAAATAGATGGACCATAATACTAAGTGAAATAAGTTAGACACAGAGTTAAATATCACATAGTATCTCCTATAATATAAATAAAGAGTATAATAAAGGCCATACAATAAGAAGCCAGGAGGCCAACTTTTTGGAGATGAGGAAAGGGGTCAGGAAAAGTGAATGATGGGAAGGGGAATCAAAGAATCAAAAATAATCAATGTAATGTACTTATTTGATATAAAACATAGATACATTTCCCAAATAAAAAATTAAAGGATGATTTTAATCTCAGTATGTAAATGTTAACTTTCTAACAATAAAAGTGATCCAAAAGAGGCCAGGGATTTAGCTCAGTGGTTTAAGCACCTCCCTGGCAAGTGTGAGGTAGTAAGTTTGATCCCTGAAACAAAAAAATAAGTGATCTAGAGATATAATGAACTGTGTAACAAAAATTAAACTTTATGTATGAGAGAGATTTAATACAAAGGGTACATAGTCACTCTTTAAGACTGTCAAAATCAGATGGGCTCTGGATTACTTTTTAACAGATTCTTTGGTTTATGTTCATAAAGTATATGTCAATAAGAAATTGAAAAATGATAAAATACAGTAGTTCCACCATCTCGTGAGCTATCCTTTTGAGAGTATCAAATAAAGGCAAAAGGAGTCAGAGATTGTATTTCAAGTATCCACTTGATTATCAAACTAAACATAGAATTATGCCCTTTGGTTAATTCTCTTGGAAATTAGAGGCATATTAAGTGTGAATCTTATTTCCTCTTATTTGCATATATGTAAATGTGTGAATAATGCAGCTCTGAAAATTTACTTAAAACTGAATTATTTCTATTTACTAGGGTGAAATTAATGAAAGCAGAGATCTGATACTTTCTTTGAAAAGAACGTTACTGCTTCTAAAAGTTGCATTACAATCAATACTATCTTTTTTGTGACTTTTCTCTTGTTTCCAGAGCCAGTTTTTGTATAGCTAGATAATACTAGCTATACAATAACTTTAGTTCCACATCTATTCAGTAGTAAGTTTTTGGTATAGCAGTTTTTTTAATAATTAATTAAATGCCTCATCTAAAGAACCAGTTTTGTGGTAGGTATTAATGGCAGCCAGGCAAGTATCATTCAGGTATTCTTTACTGAGCCTGGATGAAATTACACTGACTTAACTGTGGTGTTAAAATTTAAAAAAAAAAAAAAAGTGCTGAGGATTTAGCTCGGTGTCATAAGTGCCTGCCTGGCAAGCACAAGACCATGAGTTTGATCCCTGGTACTAAAAAATTAAGTTAAATTAAATTTAAAATAGTCTCTTCATTTAGATTACAAATCTTGAAGTGTTTTTGAGATGAGAATTATATCACTGTTGAAAGAAAAAGATGACATAAATTAGACTAAGTTAGTGATAGCCAGAAATTAATTATAAGGTAATAAAATACTTCTGTCTTCTGTACGTTCTAAGTATGTATCTCTTTCGTGTGTATAATTATAAATATCATTTCTTCACAAATATGTCTAGAAGAAGGCAGTTTTATTTACCACCACTGGACCATGAAAGCCATAATATAAGCTTTTCCACTAGTAAAAGTATTTCACATCTGTGTCCTTCTTGTTATAGAACTGTTCTTTTTGTTATAGACCTTATACAAAGGTTACACAGTGTGCTACTCTTCTAGCATTTTTATATGTACATACATATGTGTGGTGCATATATAATTTTAATAACTTTCGTTTTCAGAAATAGAAAGACATTAATTTTACCTTTTTGAAACTTTCAGATAATGTAATTTCTGCAGTCACTCTGTGGATTATTGCTGATTTTGATACATCATCTGGGAGAAAACTGCTTTATAATGCATTAATACACATGGTGAGTTGATATTCTTCCTATAAAATTTTAATTTGTTGTAATTTCAAGAAAGCATTCTGAGCCACATGCATTAAATCTTTATTCCCCTTCATGGGAACATTTTAACTGATTAGAGCATAGTACTGAGGAGACTTCAGTCAGGAATTTGCATTCAGTTTCCATGTGAAACAGGTACTGTAACCCAGAAGAAAAGCTTATCTGTTTGTACGTCTCATGACCTGTAGATACTGTGGTAGTGCTTTTGATCATTTAAGTGTCTAGTAATGGTTACGAGTAGGCTATTAAAACAATTATGTTAGAACGTACCACTACCTCAGTGACTCTGTGTCTACCTTTTACCAACAATAGCTGGTATTGGCAGTTTTTTGTCACACAGTTAGGCAGTACTTTTTCTCCCTTATTATTTAAGAAAGACTAAGAAAATTTATCTTGCCAGCAGTATTCTTTTTTTATCTTACCAAAGATATTTTAAACTTTAAGTCAAACTTAGTTTTCTTATTAGATAATTGTAAGCCAAGATACTTCACTAGGATTCATTTTTATAGTTGAAAGTACTCTTTAATAACCTGTACAGTATTTATAAGATTTAAAGAAAAACACACACGTAAAGAACAGAAACCACAATAATTTTATTAGACTGCTTTTATATTATCTGAATATAAATGTGTTGCTGTATAACAGATTATGCTTCATAAGCTAATGACTTAAAACAATGAACATTTATATTCTCACTTGTTGCTGAGGTTCAGAAAATCAGGAGCAACTTAGCTGATCGTTTCTCATGTAGAGCCTTTTATGAGGCTGTAGTCAGATGATGACTTGGGACTGAAGCTGAAGGATGAACTTTTAAGACAGCTCAGTTACCTGCCTCTTGGGAAGAGTCCTCAGTTTCTCCCTGGCTGTTAGCAGAGCACTTCATTCCATTGCCACAAAAATGATGCAGGATTCTTCCTAAAAAATCAGAGGAAATTCTTTATTCTTTAAATTTAGTTACCATTTTTCAGAGAAAGGAGGTGGTAATATAGTAGTCATCTTTACTGATGGGAAATACCCCTTTTTTCTTTCTGATAGAGTTATTTCCAAAAGATGAAAAATATTAACAAAAGATGAGAAATATAAAATAAAAAGCGGCCTTTATTCTGAGAACACGGAGAGAGATGACCGGCACCCCCACCGCTGGCGTCCGGTGATCTCTCCGGCAGACACGTGGCGTGGGGGCCTGTAAATAGCCTCGGTTTGGGGTGGAACCTAAGGCGGGCATTAGGGATACACAGGTAGCCCATTGGTCCTAGGTTTGGCGGCATATGTAAATTCCCAGGGGCGGGAAGATGGCATCACAGGTAACTTCCTAGGGGCAGGGGAGATGGGGCTTCCTGCTTCCGGTTGTGGCTTTCCTGGCTACAGAGTCCTGTCTGGGCCCAAACCCTTTCATATCCCGTCTTATGATTATTATTATGAAAAGGGGCGAAGATTTCTCTCTTTAACTACTTCCTGCTGGCAAAGGGCGCTGTACTGGAGCCTAGGGGAGTCGACGCGATGAAGGTTGATGCCCAGGTAGACGCTGCTGCCAGGTGTTTTAGCCAGGACAACTTCACTGGTGAATGCACGTATGTCAGACTGGAAAAACAAAGAGACAAGATGTTATGAGGAGACATGGCACTGTCATATTTAAGGACCCAGGTGAGGTAGAAGGAAAGGTGCCTTTGATTTAGACATATCATTCTATCAGGACCATGTTGAGGTAGAAACATTTCCATGGTGAGGCAGAATTCTGAAAATTAAACATGGGGTTAGGAGGAGTGGAGTTATGAGAGGTGATTACTCTCCCATCTGAAAGCATAAAAGTTAAGAGGGTAGGTGTATAAAACTTGTCTCCGGTCCAGGAGTTGTACTGGAAAGAATAGGGGGAGCAGGGAAGGCGGTGGCTGTACCCGTATAGGGAAGGTAAGGGCTTAGGCTTTCAGGGATGTCACGTTTAACCAGACAGCTGAGGGTAGAAAGAACTGCAACTGTTATCATATAGAACATTATGAAGATTATCTTACGCATGATGTGGGAGTCTTTAGGAAAGACTGTCAAGAGTCCTGCTGTAAAAATGATCATTAATAGAATATAAGAAATTAGGAACCAAAGTGGATAACAAAACATGACTTAGCCTGATAACTGTGGCTGCGAGGCCTTTGTGAGACGGAGACGGGTAGGCGACAGAAGATGAGATGACCACTCAGAATGATCAGATTTAGGGCTGGGAGGGCACCTCTTAGCCTGAGTGATGTGAAACCAGGATGGGAGTCCAGCAACTTTGCTGTAGGGGTAGCCAAGTAGACCAGATGGGGGCCACTCCACCTTGGTTGTAGTCCTGTGGATTTAAAACATTTGAGATAAATTAGATCTCCTGGGGATATGGGAGGATCTGGTTTGGCCTCTCCAGAGGGCTGTGGAAGGCAGAGATCAGCATGTTGTCGCAACAGGTGTCAGAGGAAGGAGAGAACTGGGACATAGTCAGCAAGGGGAGGGAGATTTTGGGGGGTAGGAAGATTGTGGAGTAAGAATGGCCTACCATACATAAGTTCAAAAGGACTTAAGAAGGTAGGAGCCCGGGGGAGTGCCCTGAGCTTGGCTAAGGCTAAGGGCAAAAGTTGAGGCCAAGGTTGGTGTAGTTCTAAAGTGAGTTTTGTAAGGTGTGTCTTTATGAGGCCATTTGCCTTTTCTACTTTTCCTGAGGATTGTGGATGGTATGGGATGTGTAGGTGCCAGGTGATATGTAAGCTTGAGGATACCTGTTGAGTAATCTGAGAAATAAAGGCGGGACCATTATCTGACTGAATACTCTGAGGTAGACCAAACCTTGGAATGATTTCTTGTAATATGACTTTGGTAACTACATCAGCAGTTTCCCTGGTTGTGCGAAAGGCTTCTATCCATCCTGAAAAAGTACAAACAAAAGTGAGAAGATATTTGAGAGTTTTGTGGCGGGGCATGTGTGTAAAATCTATCTGCCAGTCCCGACCAGGGGTGTGTCCTCGAAACTGATGGGTAGGAAAGGAAGGGGGTGCCATGCGTCCCTGAGGAGAGGTCCTGGCACAGAGATCACAGGTGTGAGTAGTCTTAAGAATGATAGCTTTTAGAGAAGGGTGTGTGACTATTGGGGCTAAGAGTTTGTATAGGGCCTGTGATCCTATATGAAAACAGTTGTGCAGGTCAGCAATAATGTCTAAGGCCTGTTGATGTGGGAGAACAATTTTAGATCCCTGAAAAATCCATCCCTGAGTGTTTTGGGTGTAACCTGGTTTATGAAGTAGCTGTAACTGCTCTGGTGAGTAATTAGGCTGAGGTAGACTGTTTGGGACTAACGGGAGAAGATGATAAGGGCAGGGCCCTTGTGCAGCTAGCTTGGCTTGTGAATCTTCAAAGGCATTGCCTTGAGCAATAGGATCTGTAGAGTTTTGGTGTCCCCTACAATGAATAAGTGCTGCTTGCTTTGGAAGTTGGGCTGCCTCTAGAAGTTTAAGGATAAGGGGAGCATTAATGATGGGAGTTCCCTGAGTGGTAATAAAACCCCGTTCTTGCCAGATAGAGGTGTGAGAGTGTAAAATGCTAAATGTATACTTTGAGTCAGTGTAAATATTTATAATCTTGCCTTTTGCTATTGTAAGAGCCCTTGTAAGGGCAATAAGTTCTGCCCTCTGGGAAGAGGTCCCAGGTGGCAGTGCATTTGCCTCTATAACTTCTGACTGGTTAACTATCGCGTACCCTGCCTTTTTTTGGTTGTCTGTGTTTGTTGAACTGCCATCTATGAACCATGTGTCAAAGGCCAAGGAGAGAGGTGTGCTACTGATGTGAGGGAAAGGGGTGGGAGTCATCTGTAAAAACTCAATACAGTCATGGTGAGGATGGCCCTCTGAGGTGGGAAGTAAGGTGGCTATATTTAGGGGACCACTAGTTGCAATAGAGATGCAAGGGTCTTGAGAGAGAGCTAAGTGTACCTGTTGAAGGTGAGAAGGGGTCATTAGGGCAGGGAGCACCTTATGTGAGATAAGCTCACGTAGGTGATGAGGTGAGTATACTGTAATATATTGCCCTAATGTAAACTTTTTAGCTTCCTGTGTCAAGAGGGCTGCAGCTGCAAGAGCTCAGAGACAAGGAGCCCATCCTTTTACTGTGTGATGTAGCTGTTTTGATAAGTAAGCTACTGCTTGAAAAGAAGGTCCTTTTTTGTGTCCTAGTACACCTATAGCATTGTGGCCCTGAAAGGTAGTGTATAGGATGAAAGGTTGAGTGGGATCAGGAAGGGTGAGAGCTGGAGCTTTTAGGAGAGCCTCTTTTAATTTATGAAAGGAGGCATGTATGGGCCTAGTAGGGTCTAGGGGTTCCGATAAAGGACCCTTAGCGGCCTTGTAGAGGGGTTGAGCTAGGGCTGCAAAGTTAGGAATCCAGAGATGAAAGAAATTAGCTAAACCTAGGAAAGATGTAACCTGCTGTTTAGTTGTGGGCACCTGGAGATCACGAAGGATTGCCTTACGATCTGAGGTGATGGAGCAAGTAGTGGGGGTGAGAGCAAGACCTAGGTATTTGACTTTTGGGGAGGCTATCTGAGCTTTAGCAGGAGAGACCCTGTATCCATGACTAGCAAGGAAATTAAGAAGACTAGCCGAGTGGTGCATGGCTAACACATGGGATGGAGAACATAATAGAAGGTCATCTATATATTGAAGGAGAACACTAGGTTTGAGATTAAGTTCTGTGAGGTCAGTAGCGAGAGCCTGGCTAAAGAAGTGGGGACTGTCCCTGAACCCCTGGGGGAGTACTGTCCAAGTAAGTTGTTGGGACCTGAGAGTGTCTGGGTCAGCCCATGTAAATGCAAAGAGGTTCTGGCAATCAGGGTGTAGGGGGATAGTGAAGAAGGCATCTTTAAGATCTATAACTGTAAAGTGAGTGGTGGAGGGAGGGATATGAGAGAGCATGGTATAAGGATTTGGCACCACTGGGTGAGTGGGGGT